ATACAAACTATATCTGATCCATATTTCAGATGTTTTTGTTTTCTAAGCATCCAGTATTCTTTTCCACTTCATTTGTCATACTCAGCTATTGATCCAAACTTACATCATCTGACCACTGTGCCCAGCTAGGAAAGCCCCATGGTAATCAACATTGCTGTGCCCAAGCCTTGAATAAAGTGAACATATTGGCTTACTATATCCTAGATGTAGTCTTATCCATGTTCCATGACAGTCACCCCTTTCCTATATTGAGCAGGGCTGATTCTCTAGCATTACAGGCTTCTTCTCAAGCTTAGGCAATTCACGGGTGAGAGTTTACTCATTACAGCCTATGTATACATCAGTTGATGCATCAATCACTCTAGTGAGTGCCAATGGTAGATGACATACAAAACAGATATGATGCTCTATGTTAGCACATAATACCTCAAGTGATAGCTGACTAGCCTCTCTTAGTGGCCTATGGCATACAAATACTACTACCAGATCATAGCTATGAAAGGAACAAGGGTATAGTACTTGAAGTACACTATATCATGTCTTATGGGTCTGTTTTGACACAATGTATAGCCTATAGGCATAGTGGGCAGTGAGCGGCACATGTGCTGTGCAACCTAGGGTTACACAAGCGCCCAGGGAGAGGCATAACATATGGTAAGACATTTGATTAGTTTAGATCTAAGGCTAACCCTAAGCTGTGCTATTGGGATCCAACCCTAACCCTGTGAACATTACAAAATTTTGTATGTGGCGCCTATCAGAAAGCTAATGATGAGTAAGTAATTTTTTCCCACGGGGTCGGATTGGCGTCACGCGAGTTGGCAGGAAGCTCACCCCATAAGAAATGATTTCTTCGTTCCTCATCAATCGTAATATCACCAGGAAGCTATGGATGCACAGAATCTATATATCCAAAAATCATCTGGATGTGGCCACCTTTGCTGCCACTGTGCACAACACAAAATCCTATTAGTGCTCCCTGCACGCACACAAGGGTTTAAGGGACACCTGCATAATAACAAGTCACCTTTATACATACATAGGTTTCAGGGACACCTGCATGACAAGTCACCTCGATGCAATTCACTTTTATAAACACATAATAATCTGTTATGAACCATGGTTAAATTCTGTCAATACTCAAGCTAAGCAGGTAAAATGTCTCTCTCAGCGTAGCTGTTATTGCCATCATGATTTTATTATTTTCTATCACACATATCTGGGCTTTAGTGTGTTGATCCAGCTGAAGGGTGGCAGTCTACATATACATGTTGTGCCTTTATATACAACTGCAACCATACTGAGAGGAGCTGCTAGTACATAAGGGCAGGTCTGCCAATTGACACTCTTATAGCATTTCTTGATCATCTCTCAGCATTAGCAGGTCAATTTATAATCAAAAAAATATCAGTAACTAGAGTTACATTAGTACCATGAGTGTAGTTTTATTGATTTTATATAATGGTCATGCCATTGATACATTGATTGAGGTTGATTTTATGTGATTATCAGCCCTTAAGTCTAGGCAGCTTTAAGTAGGAGTTTACCCATACCTACCCTGTACTTCAACTTCTAGAGGAGTTTCAGCAAGACATTCATCTTGGTAGCTAATTTTATTCCATGTAATGGATCAGACATACCTTGATCAAGGCCTTCATTGCATAGGCCTTGAATAAATGGCCTGATCATTGTTCTTTAAATAGAAATCATGTCATGATACATTTATTTCTTTATGCTCACAGTATCCCCTCTATTTGAAGGGCAACAGGGCAGATCCCAACCTGCCTATGCACCATCATCACTCTGCTGTATATTTTATATCTGGGCTTTATGATACATTCTAACTGGGGTTCTGGTTCACACTTGCACTTCTATACTTCTTTCTTTGTGGCTGAGAAGCTCCAGACTTCCACAACAAGACCAGGCTAGAGCCCAAGGCTAAATTTATTAGGCCATCCTGAAGCCAATATTGCAGCACTTTGCTTGCAAAAGGGCGCGTTTTGACACGGTTATGAAGGGCTTTCAGGATCGTGAGGTTACGTCCTTATTTGCTCATTTTTGCTTTCTCTGCATCGTTTTCCTTTCCCTCTCTTGAATACAATCTTGTAACCTACACTTCTCCTCCAAAGCTGGGACTACCTTGAAATACCCGGCCTGGTATCTTTCACTTCATGATGCTTCTCAGCCCAGAGTGGCCGCTCTCAAATCTGTCCGCTATTGGCGGTTTTATGATGTTATCAAGTGGTACATACATCCCCCTTGTATTTTGTCCATAGCACATTCAGTTCATGTCCAAACTGTATTGTGTTCGAAGTGTCTTGGTCATATGATATAGGGTTATTATGCACACATCAGAGTGTCCAAATCCGTCCACCTGTTTTGTAGATCTTTCTTTGTGTTCCTCCTCCCCCTCATTGTCAGTGTATAGTTCCAAGGGAAGCATTGACAGAGTAGGGGGCTGTAGGATGTGGTGAACATCAATGTGTTGTGAGTGTATTGCATTCCTCTAACGGCTCAATTTGTCTTCAAGCATACCCAGTGAACTGAGATATCACAATAACCACACACCAAGCCAGACAGGCTACAGACAGTGTTCCACTTGCAGCTAACCCCAGTGTCAAGATCTTCAGACTGGCACATTTGAACAACAGCACTGGCAATCTTACGCTGCCACCCAACCCCCTTCAAATTTGCTGGCTCCATGAAGGAGATAGTGTGTCCCCCACTGTGATCTGCATGTGTGAGGCTCTTGAATTGGTTTGAATTGGTTTGATAGTGTATTCACAACCAAACTGGGGTCCAGTCATAAAATGCAACACCACTGTTGTGTTGATATCTTACTCATTATTGTGTGTAGTGGTAATGTAAATAGCTAAAGTGCCCATCAGCCTGCCACCATCTCTAGTAGTCTCTGCTTCCAGCTCCTACACTCTCTGCTCCATCTCCTTTTCTGGAAAACTGTAGGTGAACCGAGAATACACATCAAGGAGGGCTTACACTGTGAGGTGAGTCAGCAAGCACCCAGCTGACTGGAGAAAAACAACTGGGTGTGTGGTGCTTTGAGCCAGTCATGTCCACTGCCTATGTCAAGCCCTAATGTTGAATGCCATGTCTATGTATTCCAGTTGTGATTTGCGGCCGCCCAGGGAATACCCGCATAAGGTTTTGTGGAATATGTTTGCCATCAAATCTTCAGACAGCATTCCAGAAAGACGAAGCTGGAGCATCCACACCAAATCCTTGCACCTGGTCACCAGTTCACCACACAATTTTTCCACACTTTTGTTCACAAGGTCTGGATCAAGGGAAAGAACTTCAATGAGACTCACATCTGCAAATTACTCTGCATCTAGGACATCACACGCACATCATCCTCCTTCTGTGCGAAGGTTTGCATCACAGTGTATGTCTGGATGCTGAAGACATACAAGCCATGGGGGTGGCCCATGCCTATCCAGTGTCCAGTTCGCTTTAGCATCAGTGTTTGAAATTGTAAGACTACAAACCCTCAAGAGATGCGGGCACTGAGCGAGTAGGTACACATTGGGTGCAAGGCTGAGGACTCCATCATGGCAGGCAAACGGTCCGAAGAAGGTATGCCACCTCTGGCAAACAACCATGGGTTTCAAGAGCACCCACTTGAAACCAATGAAATTGACCTCAGCATGCACATGTTCATTACAAAGTTTCTTGGCACCCTCTTCATCAGAGTCATCCTCTACTTCTTGTCAACTGATCGCTTACAACTGTCATATTCCATTTCAGGGTCCTGTGCATTGTCTTGGGCATGAACTTCTCTCCATTCGATTTTCTGAATGAGTAATCAGTTCATTGCGGGTAATGCCTGTCACTTTGGGTGAGATCTTGCCCAGGTAGCGCAGCTTGGTGATTTCATCCAGCAACTCAAGCTCTCTGAACTCCTGACGCAGACTTCCAGATATTCCACCAGTGAACTTTCTTGGGTCAAATGGTCACAATTCCTCAGCCTCAGACTCGATGCTTGGCCTCAAGGAGTCAGCTGATACTCAGGGTCAAAGAAGCTCGTGATGTTTTGCCAGCATAACACCCGGTCACGAAAACAAATCCGCTGAAGTGTAGAGCATCTGAGGTGACAAAAGAAGAACTTGAAGCTGCTCGCAAGTGCATCCAGACCATCAGGAAGTGTAACGGGTGGAGTACAGACCAGGATCTCCAGTCTCATCACTCATTTTACGGATGGGTGGAATTTATGGCTCTCGGGGAGGAGATGCAACTACTGAGGGTGCGTGGGGCTTGTGAGTGCTGAACTTGCCACAGATGGTGTGGCTGAGTAGCATTGACTTCAATTTTCAGTGGGGTATGTCAGTGAGCCAGACTCAGAACAAGACAGATGGTGAGAAGCGACAGGTGGCGGCCTTTACACCCTAATCTGGCGAGTTTTTGCCTCATCCAGAAGTGTGTACGCTACTCCTATGACTACTACAACCTATTTAAGACTATGTTCTTTGCAGGATCAGGGAAACAACCAATGATTGCCATGCCTGGTGCTGTGGAGACATGACATGGTGTTTGCCTGGGTCCTGCAAGGATGTGACAAGTAGAGACTAATTAATGAGCAAGTTTATTCAGCATTAATGTGTAGCATTCGGGATGTTAGTGAAATATACAGTTCTACACTGGGCTTTCACTCCGCCACAGCTACCTTCGCAACACACTGGAGTCCATATTGTTGTTGCATATAGTTCTTTCTGGGCTGTTTTAACTGGTTCTAGTTTGTTCGTTGCGTAGTGTACAGAGTTCATACATCTTGTAGTAGATGTTGTAACAAGTCATGTGCTCAACCCACCGAGATATTTGGCAGCTGTCACTATTGGCAATATCACAAGGTTTGTAGCAAGAAGTACAGGAAAGATATATGGTAAAGCAGCTGGATAACACTTAAACACGAGGCCATTATAGCTGCGGTGACCCTCCCTCCTGACCTGTAGTATGACATGGACTGCACCCAACAGCTACTCTGGGGACTGCATTCTAGAAATACGACTGATGCACGAGCTATTGAACACTTCAAATCTGGGGGCAAAGTATAATCTGCAGAGCCAGAGAGTTTATACCACAATCCTCAGCTATATCCTCAGATGTTCCCATGGTTATTCCCATATGGCCTGGGTAGACTGAACAATTCTGCAAGCGGGTGTCAACCCATTTCTGAAGAGCGGAGAAAGCAACCACTGCTGATGTTCCATGATAAGCGCTTTCAACTAGAACCATTGTTTCCACTGGTTGCATTAAACCATGAGCAGATCAAGAAATCCACCACAGCAGGATATTTGTTGGCAGACAAAAACAAATTTGGTGAAATAGCTAACAGGCTGCTGAACATCAAAGACTCAACCTTGGCAGACATCATTCAACGGCTGAGAACTGGGTCTATGAAACCAGAGACTGAAGATGAAAAGGCTTGCTTCAAAATATTGAATGACCTTGATCATGTCAATTATAAGGTGCAGGGCTCCATCACAAGCAAGAAATATATGCGCAATGAAATATGGTCACTAGTCTCCTACCTTGGTGCACCCTCGTGGTTTGTGACCTTTGCTCCTGCTGATGTTAAGCACCCTGTGGCCCTGTATTTTGCAGACACCAATCTGAAATTTGTACCTGAGTTCAGAGACAAGAATGAGCGCCTGAGGTTGATTGCCAATAATCCAGTGGCGGGTGCACACTTCTTCAAAATGATGGTGGATCTGTTTATCAAGCATGTTCTTGGCGGTTATTCTGCGGGAGAATATGAGACAGCGGTCACAGGGTGCCAATGATGCCAAGCTCAGGACAGCTCTGGAGAATCTGAGATACAAGTCATGCACACCTGAGGATGTCAAGCTTCTGCAGTCGCGTGTTGCAGGACGTGGTCCAGGCAGACCTAAGCTGAACCAGCCATGCTTCCGCAATGTGTCTATTATTACTGCATGGAACACGCACTGAGATAAGATCAATGAACTGGGATGTGAGAGGTTCGCAAGGGAAAATGGGCAGCCACTGACTACATTTTATTCTGTGGACAAGCTCTCAGCCAATGCAGATGACAATGCAACCAAAAAGCAGCGCAGACAGACCATGAATCCAAGAAGGTCCACCAATATTCTCAGTGCTGAGCTCCAGGATTGTTTGTGGAATTTGTCGCACACCCTCACTGATCATCTGCCAGGCCTATGGATGCCTGCTGGTGTGCATGACTGTGGGTGCGATGGATGACACGTCCAACTTTGTGTGAGTACAATGCATTTCCACTCATGGCTGGGGGCAGCTGGGCAAAGTCTCCTGCAAAAATCATGTTGATCCCACCAAAGGGCGCCCCATCATTCTTCAGTGCTGCACACATCTTTGCACAGATAGTATACACACTTCCGCAGTCGACCATGCTGATCTCATCAATGAACATGTACTCCACATTCTGCAGGCGAGCGCGCACTTGGAGCAGGGTAGCCACAGAGTCTGAGGATGCATTTTGTCTGAGTCCTAGCATGGAATGGTATGTAGATCCTCCGATAAGCGCTGCAGCAGATCCAGTGGGGGCCATGCACATGAACCGGTAGCTTTCCTGGCGAGCAGCAAAGAAGTGTGTCAAAGCTTTAATGACCTGTGACTTTCCTGTGCCTGCCATGCCCCCGAGGTACATTTTGAGATGCTCGCCATTAGATTCTACAGCATGGTTTGCAACGACACGGAAAGGCTCTCTCCTGTGCTTCATTCAGACTGAATTCCTTGGCAGTGGTGTCAATGAGCGCCTGAGCCTCCTGGTCTTGTGCTTGAATGCTTTGCTCATATAGATGACCTGTCCATGACCTT